TGGCCCTTGAAAAGAATTGTAAATCTTGTTTTTAATACAGGAAGCTTTTCATTTCAGGGATAGTGACTTTTATAGCTTTGCAGATTTCTACTTTTAAAGAAAGGCACCTGTGCTCACCGCACTCACAACTATTTACCTCTTTTTCATATCTCCCTGTTATTATATGTGCATATATATGTGCATGTCATTTAAATGGATAATTAAATGCATACTGCTATGCAAAGTGCTTTTGCACCTACCAACAATGCATGCCTTTTTTTCCGTGATACTGATTCTTAGGCTTTATTATCTTTTTAATGCACATATTATATTTCAACACTCTGTTATTTCTTCATACTGATCAGGCAGTGGTTTCAGCCCCTGAACACCAAGACCAGTGGGTGCTTGAGTCCCTCAAATGAGAGGGCATAGAATTTACCTGTAACCCACACGCATCTTCCAGTGCGCTCTTTTTGGAGACAGGGTCTTGCTATGTCATCCGGGCTGGCCTTGAACTCACTATGCATCCTAGGATGGTCTCAAACTCACAGCGATCCTCCTGCCTCAGCCTCCTCAATGCTGGGATTACCGGCGTGCTCTACCATGCCTGGCATTCAGTGCACTTTAAATCATTTCTAGATTACTTGAGATTCCTGACACCACGTAAATTCTGTGTAAATGGCTGTTTCATTGTGTGTTGAGGCAACGGCAGGAAAAGTCCGTGCCTTGTGGGGAGAAACACAACATTCTCGGGTGCTCTCCGCCACGGTTGCCGGGCTCTGCTCTGCGGACACCGATAGATGTGGAGGGTAGCGTGTCCACGCGTGACAACTCGTCACATTTCCTCTTGGTGGGCATGAAGTGTTTCCTGTTTTCTGTCAGTTAAATAGAACGCTGCACTTCTAACTTTTTATGCCAATGTGCTTGTTCAATTGTGTAATTTTTTGCTCATCAAAAATCCTAAAAATAAAATTACCAGGTAGAAAGCCAAGGCTCTCCAAACCTTTCCCACGTGTCCCTTGGCAGGTGTCTCCACGTCAGCTCTAGGGGGCATGTGGAGCCCGAAGGCACTCTTTCCAGGCCAGCTCCGAGCCACAGGGGAAGGCGACACATCACAGCCACAACTCGGATGGCAGGGGCAGGCAGTTGGACGCACTGGCTGCTCACATTTCTAGTTGTTAGCTTTTCAGTACTAGTCTTTGTACTTACTCTAACAGCTTAAGCATTGCAGATGATGTTTTTATAAATGAAACGAGAATCTGATTATTTTCACTGTTATATTTTCCAATCAAGTTTGTCTCAATTTTTTTTTTTTTTTTGTATAAAGTTTTTTGTTTCCTTTCATGGTGTTTTTCCTTCGGCGTCTTCCTTGGGAAACAATCCTGTATACACACATTACCACCACTACCACCACTACCACCACTACCACCACTGCCACCACTGCCACCACTACCACCACTACCACCACTACCACCACTACCACCACTGCCACCACTGCCACCACTGCC